CAATTTCAACACAACTGTTGAAGCGTGAATTCTCCGAAGAACAACTGAGGAGATAAAAGAATTATATTGTTAAGTCATTTCATTCCTGTGACAATTTATCATAACAGTTTTTAACAATATATTTAATAATATATTTAAGTTTCCCATGAATATACTGAAGTAAATGAAGAAGTTAAGTTTGCTGTCAATTATTTTTTGTATCTGATCACATTCAAAATTAAGCATTTTTCTTTTGCCAAACATATCGAAAGTAATAAAAAAATCTAATGAAGAACATATCTAAAACTAGACCAACGTTCTAAAAAAGAAACCCAACAGAAATTAAAGCAAATAAAAATTAACCTTAAGTATTAACGCAAAATCTTGTTTTAAATGAAAAAAAAAGAAATGAAAATCAGACTTGTAACTCTAGCTTAAAAATGACTAATATATACCAAACATATTTAAGCCAAACATAAAAGAAAAATAACTGGTTCATATTTTCTTTTTGAAAAGTTTCTTGTCTTCTTAATATTCTTAAGCCCATCCTCAGATAATAATCTTTACCCATTCTTTTACCTACATGATCAAAATATCACTCCACATACATTTTAATCAAATAAATACCAGTAAATACAAGTATTTGAAAAGTTCATATTGAATTTTTTATATTTTTCATCTTTCAGTTCTATAACAACTTGTATTTCTGTCACCCAGGATGACCCCTGCTCCAGTAACTTACTTTCTGAGGAGAGCATGGGAGGAAGTTGTACATGTGTGTGAGCGAGCTGAAGTGAGGAGAATGTGGGATGAAGGGTGTGAGTTGTAGAGGGCGTTGGAGAGTGGGAGTAAGCTGTAGGGGTGTGGCAGTGAGTTGAAGGATTATGAAAGTCAGTTGTAGGAGTGTGGGAGTGAATTGTAGGGGTGCGGGAGTTTTAGTGGTGTGTAGAACACTCTAAAGATTCAGCTGTATCTCAGTATTTTCAAGAGGTACAGAAGCTTTACCTCAGCATCTTCAAGAAGCTTAAGAGGTGTAGCTCAATAACCTACAAAGACCCAGGAACTGTAGATCAACACCCTCATGAGTTGAAACTTAACATCCTGAAGGAGCCAATAATAACTCATATCACTGACGAGGACTAAAGGCTCTACCACACTGAATAATCTTCTCTCAAGTAATATTATCAGTTATGACCACAGCCAATCAAATAATATGACAATGAAATCTTTACTACCCCCAGGATTCCACCCACAAAAGTCAAGTAAGGTGCATGTTTAGTGGCAGATGAACAGTGGTAACAGGTGCTACCACAGAGCAGTGAACCACCAACTTAACATTGCTACAATTTACCTGAAATGAAATATCCTAATTTACCTAAGTTATCTAAGAATTTACATAACTTTAGTTTACCGTTTTCCTTAGGGAAAAAAGGGAGGGTGAAAGGACAGGGGCTAGTCTTCAAGTGACTCAATTCTTCTCCAAGAGTAAAAGGAATTTATTGAAGTCCACCACCCACAGATTTGCTACAGTTCAAAAATCACCAGGAAAATTTATAAGGTTAATAAGGGAATATTAGTAAATATAATCAAGGAAAAAATATAGTATTATCTTACCTTATATTCATTCCATAAGTAAACTGAATTATATTCATATTTTGGAAGGCATAGTGAATCATGGAGAGGTACTTGGCCCAGGCAAGCCATGGTGGAATTCGATTTGCTAAGTATCCTCCAAATAACTGCGTGAAGAGTGTAAATATTGCCGCAATGGTAATACCAACTTGAAGGTCATAGCACACTGCTCCTATGAGTAAGCCCACACTCTGTGGGCATAAAAATTGAATAGTTCATTCTTACCTCAGAAACAAAGCAGTGGAAAATATCTCTGTAGTAGATATGGTGAACATTGTACATGCTATGACATTTGTTAATACTGTACTTTATAGGAATAAAATGATATTACGGAATGAATAGTTGGAACAATAAGAACTGCTTACTCCAGTCCAACATTCTTCATGAATAATTAACTAATAAGCAAGAGTAGCGGGCTGCTGTTCATCATTTGTCCCACTCAGCAATTCTTAACAGACACATTTACCTTTTCTACAGCATTATTCCCTCTAAGGGGGTTCCTAGATGCGGTAAAGGGCATTAAGGGCAAGACTTGTCGCGGTTCATATCTTATTATCTCTCATTTCACAGGTGCTAAATAATTCTCGACAGGTCTAATGTAATAATAGAAAATGCTCTGTATAGCCATATCCAAACAGAAAGACAATAAGTAGAAGAGTCGTTGGAACGAGATGAGATAAAGTAGCGGGAGGCACGACATGTTGGTACAAACACAGAAGACTCAATGACCAAGAGCCTCCAAGTAGGGAACCGGAGTATCAGACTAATCACCTGATACAACTTTCTCAACAAATTGTTTTAATTCAGCTTCTTCAACATCCTCCAGTTGTAGGTATTATATCAAACATCTTTAAGGGGTTAATTCCGTATCACCTGAATCATACAGTTTAGTCTCTCGTTGATAAATAGGTCCAGTTTCTTATGAAGCTCCATGATATGGAGTCTGGTAATGAATGACTGCCTCTCTATGAAGGCAATAATTTCATGTACATAGATATAAACATATCCATTGACATGTTGTTTTGTGCTAAACAACCACTGTGAAAAAGACAATGAAATTCCAAGCACCTGGGGTATCACTATTTTTACACAGTGGTCGTTTGGTATATTATGGTATCTCCTATTTATTGTGCTTTTATTGCGTGCTATTTTGTGTCACTGTTTACATCACGTGGGTTCAAAACAGCAACAGTTATTCCTCAGTCGCTGATGTTTTTAATTCACAGGAGCATTCCTGTCACTCTTATATATTCTGCTAAGTCTTTTATACTTCTATAGTGATATCAAGTTCAATAACCTTTACTAAACATTATTCAGAGTATATTTTTCTGATTAGTTCAGTTTTTTAAAGCTTTGCAAAGTTATAATTTAAATAAAATATAATTTCTATGTCTTAAACTTTATAAAGTCGCTTTTGCATAAAATTATCAGTTAAAAGTTTTCTAAAGTTATTTAAAAATATATAAAGCTATGTTTTATAAAATTTTATATAGTTATAACTTCTATAAAACTATAACTTTTAGAAAGTCATAACTTTTAGAAAGTTATAGCGCTTATAAAATTATAACTTTTATAAAGTTATAACTTATATAAAGCTTATAGCCTCTGTGAAATTTTAAATTTCATAAAATTATAGGCTTTGTAAAGTTATTGGTATGAGTGACTAGCGTGACAATTAATCATCAATAGGTGGGATGAATCATGATTAATATTGCTACTGCTAGTCTGAGGAGGACCTGGAAAATCCTATATAACGGAAAGCTACTATTTGTGGATTATTCAGATGAATGAATTTGACTGCTATAATAAATTTTCCCAATTTGTACTAATTAGTGATTAAATAAGTAATGAGAATATTTTCCTCCAATTTCACAATGTTGGAAGACTAAACTGATTGCGTAATGGGATTTGAAAAAGAAAAGATACAATTGTAGAGTAAGCTTTTATTTTGGCTGCGTTTTGCACTATTTTTTATTAAGTCACTGACATGATTAATTACTATGGAACTTAAAATAAACCTGCCCTAAGATAATGAATTGAAACGACGTCATAATGAAAGTTTACTTTGCACCTGTGTCTTTTCATCTGTACTGTTGACATTAACATCTTAATCTCTAATGTAATGGCAGATACTCATATTCAGTGGAATGTAGAACCAAGAAATACTGTACCTGTGCAACTAGCGTGTTGAGCAGCAGCATGAAGAGCAGCATAAAGCCAGTGATGATGTTATCCCAACCCATCATCGTATATGAGATTAGGAAGTATATAGTCGGCAGTGTGAATGTTAAAGGCAGTTCCCCTACCATCTTCGCTAAGTAGTATGCACTCACTCTGTACGATCCACTGGCACGCTCCTTTGTTATCACTTCACGCTCAGCTGGAACTGTAGATAGATAAGAAATATAATGTGCTCAACATCAGGGTTGTGGAATTTTTTCATAATTTTCCTTTAAGTAGTGTCATAATAATAATAATAATAATAATAATAATAATAATAATAATAATAATAATAATAATAATAATAAATAATAATAACGCAACCACCCAGGGAGGTACTACCGTCCTGCCAAGTGAGTGAAAAACGAAAGCCTGTAATTGTTTTACATGATGGTAGGATTGCTGGTGTCCATTTTTCTGTCTCATGAACATGCAAGGTTTCAGGTACGTCTTGCTACTTCTACTTACACTTAGGTCACACTACACATACATGTACACCCCCTCTGGGTTTTCTTCTATTTTCTTACTAGTTCTTGTTCTTGTTTATTTCCTCTTATTTCCAAGGAGAAGTGGAACAGAATTCTTCCTCCGATAAGCTATGCGTGTTGTAAGATCGACTAAAATGTCAGGAGCAAAGGGCTAGTAACCCCATCTCCTGTATAAATTACTAAATTTAAAAAGAGACAACTTCCGTTTTTCTTTTTGGGCCACCCTGCCTTGGTGGGATACGGCCGGTTTGTTGAAAAAATAATAATAATACTAATAATAATAACGTATATATAAAAACGTAGTGAAAATGTAGTGTTGATGTGACTTTTGGAAAGGTTTCGAGTTACAAAGGGACAAACAGACAGGTTTGGAAGTTGGGGTCGTAATATGACGAAGTGAACATGAGTTATGTCATAAAGACAAATTGGGTGTCATCTAAGCCGAAAATATGTGAATCGGCTAAAATAGAAGACTAAGAAATACGTAAACGTCTTGGATTGTTGTAAATGGTCAAATTTCCTTGGAGACAGCTACAATAGAGCTGAAATGTGGAATATAAGGAGACGCTGCGTCGTCCGTAAACGCAGCATATGTATGTACGCTTCTAAATTACCTTTCAGTAGATTTTGCATTGACCATTGTAGCTATGTATCTGTTAGGGAAGCGTTAGGATGTGATCCACAAGAAATATTTGTGGTAAGTAATTTCCAAAAAAAATGCATTAAATAATGTAAGTGTCAGATGATTTATTCCATTCTCCATGCACATTATCCAATAATAATAAATGTTGTGGACCCAGCAACTCTTTCCTAAGTTCAGGTCAAATAACAACCCACACAGTCCGCATATATGAAAGCTATTTTGTCTTTGGTGATTGATATCAAAGATTTTACCACATGTGCATAATTCATGTGGATCTTCTCAGAACATTATTTAATGATATTTATAATTCCAGGTTGAGTACCCATGTAATTTTGACCTTCATGAACATAGGAAAAGTCCCAAAGAGAAAGTATCTTCAAAATCAGTAATGACAATCAAATAAAAAGACACTAATAAACAGACTTTAACTTCTAATTTTGAATTATCGGAAACTGAAACATCAGCGAGGGATTCCAAGGATATGAAAACCATAGTACTGAAGAAGCTCCTGATAGGTGAAACTTATGCTACTACTACTACTACTACTACTACTACTACTACTACTACTACTACTACTACTACTACTACTACTACCACTACCACCAGTATTAACACCTCAGTCTAAGCCTATATATACCCTCTGTGTCCATGTATTGTTTGTAATGGCTTGACAAAGCTCCTGGAGAGCGAAATGTTGCCACAATAAAATGTCACATTAGTTGCACTTGTGTCCTTTTACTTTACATATTGTCGGTAATTCTACCAACTTTATTACAACATAACTATTAGCAGTAAAACAAATACAGCAACATGATGGGAGGCGTTGAATAAAATGAATCAATGGGTATCACATTTTAGAACATAAATGTGCCAGAGAGAATGATGGTGGCCAATTTTCATATATTTTCTCAAAGTAACATTTGCAAATGCATAGTTTTTATAGAAAAATCAAACCACAGTGCTACCTAAGTACTACCTTTTCAAAGGCATCTTGCAATTGCCATAATAAAATGTCATGGTAGACAATGGCAAAAGCAGAAGATCCTTGAATTCAACGTATCGCCCAAGGTTGAACGGCGAGTGTCTTTATTCCCAGTGTGAAAGTCATGTGACTACCAAGGCAGGGAAGAAGAGCATCACGGGTTAATAATTTGTAATGATTAATTAAGTTCTTGAATGATTTGAAATTGGAAAAATGTACACTTCGTATTTCTTTTATTTTTTAATGATTGTAATTATGTCTCCCCTCAAGGAAGGTTCCTTGATGTTGGTGAGGGGCTCTTGATTTAGGGAATTGGATCTGTGCTCCAGTTCCCCGAATTAAGCCTGAATGCCTTCCACATTCCCCCCCCCCCAGGCGCTGGATTATACAGCGCCTGGGGGGGAATGTGGAAGGCATTCAGGCTTAATTCGGGGAACTGGAGCACAGATCCAATTCCCTAAATCAAGAGCCCCTCACCAACATCAAGGAACCTTCCTTGAGGGGAGACATAATTACAATCATTAAAAAATAAAAGAAATACGAAGTGTACATTTTTCCAATTTCAAATCATTCAAGAACTTAATTAATCATTACAAATTATTAACCCGTGATGCTCTTCTTCCCTGCCTTGGTAGTCACATGACTTTCACACTGGGAATAAAGACACTCGCCGTTCAGCCTTGGGCGAAACGTTGAATTCAAGGATCTTCTGCTTTTGCCATTGTCTACCATGACATTTAGCGCTTCCCTCTTGATTATAATAATAATAATGTAAGTATGTCTAGAAATTTTTTATTTAGTTTTTCAATTTCCAGCTTTTCACGAAGAAATAAACAGACGGAGGATCGATCCTCCTCTGCTCTATATATCCAAGGAACTGAAGTTGACCTGTTCTTCAAAGGATCGAACCTGATTGCCTAGTATTTCCCCAGGCACTGTATAACATGGACGGGTTTATCGTTCCACCATAAATGCAAATAAATAATAATACTAGAAGTAACAATAACAATAATAAGAAGAAATATATTCAGTAAAAGCTTATTATTGTGTCTTAATAATCCGTCCTGCATGGTTTGCCAGCAACAAGGCGCTGGTTACCCTTGCTTTGTATGCAAGTGCTAAACAAGAGAAAAGTATTAAGTTGGGGTGTTTGAATGTGGTCGGATGCAGTGAGGATAATAAAAATTAATTGATTGTCGTGTCAGGAATGAAAGAAAGTTGGATGCCTTAACACTAAGTAAAACAAACCTAAAAGGGGTGAGAGAGAGTTTTAATGGGAAGGAATTTCAGGAATTAAGTCATGTGTATCTGAAAGGATGCATGTGAAATAAGGTTAAATGAATAATTCTGAAAAGAAAAAGAGAATGTGAAAATGTTTAAAATAAAGAGTTGTGTAGTTTTAAATAAAAATGTGATGTGTGATCTGGGTTAATGAGAATGGATCTGAAGGTGAGAGGAGCGTAGTGAAAGCGAGATTCTCTTCCAGCATTCTAAAAGCATTCTATTTCGAACCACATACGAGGTTAAATTATTATGGAACCATAATGTTAAAGTGAATGTAGTATAGGACAGAGCAGAAAAGTCTGAAAAGTTAAGGGTAAATGATGAGTGAACTTTAGTCGAATTATGAATATGAAATGGTTCTTTAACTGGAAGTATATGCTTCAATAAGAGGCTATGTGAAAATGAGAGCCGTTTACAGACTATGTATTGGTGGATAAAGCATTAAAGTGCTAACACCCAGATGTCCACATTATCCAAAAGAAGACTGAAAAATAAGTAAATTATATGAGCAGTTCAAGGACATGGGGAAAAAAGAACTGAAATTTAATTAATTTAAAGTGACAGCTACTGAGAAATGTGAGCCGTTGGAAGAAAGGATGACTTGAGTGGAAGTGATGGAGAGGTTCAAGAGGTATGGTATGTATGGGCAGGATAAAAGAAGTTAAACCAGCCTGGATGGGTGAGATTAAGAAAGAGTTGCTGATAGCAAGTGGTTATAAAATTTTGCTCTTCTTTGTTCATTCGTTTGATGCATATATTTATAGAAGATAGAGTTATACCTAAGGCTTAGCAAAGGAAACAAAGGAAATGAGTGCTAAAATTTTTTACCACAAAGGTAGGAAAGTAAGAAAGTCATTGACCATCACTCATTCAGTAGCTCTTTAGACAAAAATGCTCAATTTTAAACAAGGCTTGAAATTTTGAAAGATGAGTGAGAATGTTATAGTTCATGTGAAAAGTTACCTGCAGCCTAGAGCAGCCGATAGGTTATGTATCCAGTAACCAACCAACCTTATTGAACACAGGATATACACACCGAGAGGTGCATTTTTCCTCAGCATATGTTCCAGCTGAATTGTGATGTCTGAGGACTTCTGGAAAATCGACTAAGTACTGAGTAATTGTGAATATATAAACAACAATTAATTATCGTATTGTATAATACAGTTGAGGAACAAATGTTACCTACATGACTGGAGAGCAGCAAACAGTATGAACAACATCCAGTAATGTGTAGAGAAGAACATCCATCCCTGAATGTCTTGAAGGCTTTCTTCAGTGCGCGGTGATTGATACCACAGCAGTCCTGCGATTACAGCCAGAATCAGCGTCTGAGCCCCGTTGAGCCACGACAAGATGATGGGACGAGCCACACAAAAGTTCCGCTGCGTCAGCACCTAACAATTTTTTTTTAAATTAATGAAAACTTATTCATTGTAAACACTGATTATTAAAGCAATAAACCTAAAGACTAAATAAAAAGTATGTGAATATATGAACCAAAATGCTACTTTGGTACTGCTAATTTCGCAGCAGTTTTACTGGAGAATTTAAGCTACATCATCTCATATATATTTCTCAAACCTTAAACTGTGTGAAGAAAGATGTAGGCCATTGCATATCTGTGTATTCTTCACACCTTGAAGTTGTTCGTGAGGTCTCGCTTCCTGTCTCCTCTGACCAGGATGACCGACCACTATCCTCTTCTTCACCCACAACTGTTGTATAGTAATAACCATAAAATGAAGAAAACTATGATGCATTTAAATCAGTTAACAGCAAAAAAGCCTTGAAAAAATTCTATATATATATATATATATATATATATATATATATATATATATATAATATATATATATATATATATATATATATATATATATATATATATATATATATATAAACACTGATCTCTGGCTGAAGGAGACTTGAACCTACGAACCTTAGGACAAGGTACGCAGTGGTTTACCAATCTACCCACACTGGACAATACCTTGGCGTGTAGCTTGCGCTACACGTTTGATCCAAGGCAGCCAGCTTTCAGGGAGAAGGCTTACAGCTTTTTCATCTCATCCCCTGCATGCATCAGCCTTACTAGAGATTTGAACAATGCAAGGAATTCGCGAGAGAAGGCGAAATATACACAAATACTGAGATCAGTGTTTGTGTATATTTCGGCTAAATTAAATTGCGCTTGTTATAATAAGGTTAAGTAAGTTTTCTAAGGTTGTTTTGGTACAAAAATTATTAATTTTTACATAAACATAGATGAAAAAATATATCTTTAAACGTATAAGAGAAAATTTTAGAAAGGACTTAATTTTAAATGAGTTCTTGCTAATTGAACGGTTTTACTTATTCGGCACGACTAGGAATATTTGTGCCGAATATACCTATTTTATTTTCATTTAAGTTAAGGTAAAAATTAATAATTTTATACAAAAAGAACCCTAGAAAACATACCTAACCTTATTATAACAAGCGGAATTTAATTTAACCTAATCCAACTAAATATATTTTAGATAAATTTACAGTAGTTTAATAATAAACAAACACAATAAAATATATTTTTTTCGTTAGGTTCAGAATGACTTTTGGGAAATTATTGCATATAAAAATTTTCGATTGCCTTATTCGGCTCAGAGACCCTTGGCTCATGGGGAAAAAATGCATCTAAATTCCTCAAGGAGCTGGGAAAAAGACTCATCAGGGTAACTAGGGATCCCAGGGCAGCTAGTTTTCTGTTCCAGCGGCTCAGTGCGGCTGTTCAAAGGAGTAATGCCTGCTGTATTTTGGGCACACGCCCCAGCTCTGAGGAGCTGGATGAGATTTTCGCCTTATAATCGGTGATACACATGTAACAACATGTACTATATATGCCACCTTTATATCAACAATGTATCTCTTAAATCTTTTGAACCATATTATGTAATAAAATATTCCTATTGGTAAAAAAAAAAATATGAAAAGATGGGGTGGTAGGGGAAGTGGAATATTCAAACGGCTTCAGGAAGAAATCCAAATATTCTTCCTTGAAGCCTTTTTATCCACTTCTCCGAAGCTATGGGTCCCACAATTTACACCAGAGGTGGACCCCATTTTTGCAAAAATAAATATATATATACATATATATATATATATATATATATATATATATATATATATATATATATATATATATATATATATATGTCGTGCCGAATATATAAAACTGGTCAATTAGCAAGAACTCATTTAAAATTAAATCCTTTCTAAAATTTTCTCTTATACGTTTAAAGATATATATTTTTCATTAATGTTGATGTAAAAATGTATAATTTTGCACCAAAAGAATCTTAGAAAACTTACCTAACCTTATTATAACAAGCATAATTTATTTTAGCCTAACCCAACTAAATATATTTTAGATACGTTTACAATAATTTAATACTAAACAAACACAACGAAATATATTTTTTTCGTCAAGTTCAGAATGATTTTGGCGAAATTATTGCATACAAAATTTTCACTTGTCCTATATGGCAAGATGAGCGTTGCTATTTAAGCCAAGATCGCAAGTTCTGCCTATTCGGCATATATATATATATATATATTATATATATATATATATATATATATATATATATATATATATATATATATATATATATATATATATATATATATATATATTTATATATATATATATATATATATATATATATACATATACATATATATATATATATATATATATATATATATATATATATATATATATATATATATATATATATATATATATATATTCTAGTTACACTTAAATGACGTTTTAATCTAATATAGTAAGTTCAATTGGTCTTTACATTAGATTACATTTTTATTGTTTATTCATTTGTTCACTATACTGAGTATATCAGACTATCACACTGTCCTATGTTCATTTGTTTACTATACTAGGAATATTTATTAATTATACTGTTACATGTTCATCTGTTCACTACGATTGTTGTTAGACTATTACACTTACAATGTGATCATTTTTTTTTCACTATATTTGGTTTAATTCCGTTTCTCTGCGAATAAGGACAACTGATAATTCTTACCTATTTTATTATAAATTGGAGATTCTTTTTTGCCTATATCTATAGTGACAGAGACTTCAGTTGGGCATTTTTGTTGATAATGTTGGCTTTGTTGTTGACATGCTGAGCATTCATTATTCCACGAACAATGGTTATTGTCGACACCTGAAACAAAATACTTTTGGTGAAATTCAGTTCACAAAATATAACGAGAGAAAGTTAATATTTTAAAAATCTCTATATATATTTCAAAATACTATATATATATTTTAAAATACACTAAAATATGCATTTCACTGATATGCATTTACATATAATGTACCTACATATGATGTACCTATATACGATGTACCTACATATGACGTACCTACATATGACGTACCTACATATGATCTACCTACATATAACGTACCTACATATAATGTACCTACATATGATATACCTACATATGAGATACCTATGCATAGTGTACCTACATATGATGTACCTACATATATTGTATCTACATACGATGTACCTACATATGATCTACCTACATATGAGATACCTACGCATAGTGTACCTACATATGATGTACCTACATACGATGTACCTACATATGACGTACCTACATATGACGTACCTACATATGATCTACCTACATATAACGTACCTGCATATAATGTACCTACATATGAGATACCTACGCATAGTGTACCTACATATGATGTACCTACATATGATATACCTACATATGATGTACCTACATATGATGTACCTACATATAATGTACCTACATATGATGTAAAAGCCTACCTAAATGTACCTTTAGTTATTTTGCTGAGGTAACACCGTTTTTTAGGCATATACTCCTTCCTTTGTTGAGATTAATAATTAGCAACCTATACAAATGTCATTAGGCCAGAGGCGCCCTATATAATGTCTTAATATATGGTCACCTGACAACTAGAAAGAAATAGACTTTTGTCTACCTGTAGGTGAAATCACTTAGCGTGTCACTGTAATGTGGTGTTGATAGTCAGTGTTGTCTTACGAGAATCGTCAGAGTAGTGATGTATTGCGTAAGTTACATACTATTAAGCTTTTATTTCTAAAATAAACATGTTTACTTTCAACGCAGACACCATACAACCCTGTTTGTTAGAAGTGTCTCTTGTAAACAAATGATAGATAGTCTGCATAGCCCTATCAGCAACAACCTTTTTGACCCTAAAATCACAACAATTTCCACGATGTGTTTTAGAAGTTTTCATGTGCGTTATACTGGGGAACCTTTCACTGCCCCGGCTAGCAGTTCCTAGACTGGTCCATGAGTAGTTCATTGAAAATGATCTCGATATAGAGTTCGTCGTCGCTGGAAGCAAGGCACTTGTACTAATATATACGAAATGGATAATGGGAGAGTGACTCGCGGCTCACTCGTTTACTTGCCTCACTTGTCCTCACGCAGCACTGCAAAGTTAAACGGCGAGATCATTGAGAAAAGTCTGAGTAGTCCGGGAAATTCAATGTGGGAGAGCTAGAAGTCTATGAGCAAGAATATTTAGGAAATACAGGAATCAGGAGCAGAGTGGGTTCCAGCTTAGCAAATTATAGGACTAGCTCGTACTGCTGAGGCACATGTTTCACCAGTCCTTATAGTTCCTAGGGACCCCCTGACACACTGTTCAGCCTCAGGATACAAATATGATCAGATTTGCCTTTAGAGCACAGCGTCCTTCTCAGTTTGGATCTGCGAGCAGCTCTGGTCGCTGCTGGAATGGGAATCTTGACAGTTAAGGCAAAACCTGGCTTAATGCATGAATCTCACATTCCTTACTCGCACACTATCTACTGCGAAGATCAGCAATGCGAGTCTTTTGACCATATCCACAGTTTTGGCTCACCATCTTGTGCCCACCTTTAATAAACTTTGTTATGAGCCTATTGACTACCTGGTTATTAAGTACGTAAATATCCATGTCCGCTGGATCCTTACAGTAAACAAGTCCTCCTCAAAGGTCACCTGTGACCTCCACTTTCTCTTCTATGGAAGGAGAGAGTCGAGGTCCCAGCCCTCAAAAATAAGAGTTTCGCAGAGATTATAATAATAAACTTTAGCTATATGTTAAGGCTGATTGAGTTGAGTTCTCCAAAGGGATTCCTCACAGTATAGTCTATTGTTATTTGACAAGTAGAGGTTAATGGACCGGGCTGAGCCTTCACCAGCGCAACAACCGAGTATTTCCAGTAGAGTGGCTACCAGATTTCTGAAACTGCAATTCTTTCTGCTCATCATTCAATGCCTCTGCTATACTTACAAATATCAGTACTGCAACAATAATTTCTGAATATTAATTTTTTTCTGAAATTTGCCTAAAATAATGCACTTTAAACCTAGCCTTACCTAATAAATATCACAATACAAAAACTTTTTTTTTCAATAACACATTTTGAGTAAAAAGTCATTTACCTGATCTTACATGTACAGTAGGTAAGGAGAGGTATTTGGAGTACAGAGACTGAATGGATGGAGATGTTTGCAGTGTGATATTCTGCGGAAGATTAAAGTTCAATCTTATTCCTTCTTTAGCACCTTGAATTAATCGTTCTTGCACTTCAGGTGGTCCTTTAACTTGCTCCACTAAAAACAAGAAGAAAAAATTACATATTGTATTAATTATTGTCACTTGAATATCATTGTACTTTCTTCAGATTTGAAAGATGAATAATTTACGAACTGATTTAAACACCTTTTCTATAAATTTATTCTATTAACACAGAAATGATATTAAAAATCATGAAAACGAACTTTAGTAAAAATGACTATCTACTATTGAAATTTAAAAAAAAAACACAGATTAACACAAAGAATAATTTGCATATGACTGTAAATAATTTTGCATATTTTTCTATAAATTCATTTTAACACAGAAAAAATAAAAGAAACCCGAAAACAAACTTATTAAGCACATATTTTATACCACTGTCATTTTAAAATATAAAAGGCAAACTGCATCACCATCATCATCTTCCGTTGGAAGATGATGATGGTGATACAGTTGGAAGTATTGCAAAGATGGTTTCATTATAACTATTGTTTGAAATAAAAGAGAAGTAAATCCCATGTAACATACTCAAATATACATTATACCACCTCAAGTTATGTCATGTTCCACAAGATAAAACAAACACACAAATATTATCATATACATATACATATATTATATATATATATATATATATATATATATATATATATATATATATATATATATATATATATATATATATATATATATATATATATATATATATATATATATATGTCGTGCCGAATATGTAAACCTGGTCAATTAGCAAGAACTCATTTAAAATTAAGTCCTTTCTGAAATTTTCTCTTATACGTTTAAAGATATATTTTTTTCATTAATGTTGATGTAAATTTTTTTAATTTTGCACCAAAAGAATCTTAGAAAACTTACCTAACCTTATTATAACAAGAACAATTTATTTTAGCCTAACCCAACTAAATATATTTTAAATACGTTTACAGTAATTTAATACTAAACAAACACAGTGAAATATACTTTTTTCGTTAGGTTCAGAATGATTTTGGCGAAATTATTGCATACACAAATTTTCACTTGTCCTATATGGCAAGATGAGCATTGCTATTTAAGCCAAGATCGCAAGTTCTGCCTATTCGGCACGACATATATATATATATATATATATATATATATATATATATATATATATATATATATATATATATATATATATATATATATACATTTTTTTTTTCAGAAAGTAGTTAAGGATTGTTCTCATAAATTAAGGAAAAATATACTTAGTTTGCTACTTGTTTTTTTATTCTACTACCCATAGGTTAGATACAAAATGTAAAATAAAACTATCGAACATTAATTAAATATAAATTATTTTATACATCACCAAATACTATTAAAACAACAAGACTGGTGCCGAGTGAACAGTAGTACAAAGTGGCGAAGGTTAGATGCAATAAAATAAGTGAATGAACTATTCATGAATATTTTTTTACTAAAGAGACAGCCTTCACGGCTAGGAACTGATAGATCTAGATCTATAAATATACACTAATGGTCCTTTCAACTGAGGTGCCATGATATTGGGGAAGGGCTCTTTTTCCAAGGAACTGGAGCATTCTTACTTTTCCATGAATTACATATGATTACTTAGCATTCCCGAGTTTATCATTTGCCCTCAATATATTATAATAATAATAATAATAATAATAATAATAATAATAATATTTCAGTATTATTATATTCTCTGCGTAGCATCAAGTGATGATTCTGTGTGAACTATCACTTGTTCTGTGTATTAATTAGTATATTTATTGGTGGTACACATGAGTTTGTCATTTTTTCAATATAACTAATGATAAATCCAGGGATACCCTTATCTTCTATATTATTACTCTACATATCAGAAAAGCATATACAATATAATAGTGGAAATTCAGGTAAGTGTTTAACGGTCACTACTTCTAAAGTCTTGCAATAACACAATTAAAGGTATCCATATCACATAAATTAATCGTATGTAAATGTATATCGGATAAAAGCGTTTCGGAAGCTTCTCTATAGGCTGAGGAAATTACGTAAACAATCACCTGAGCAAAAAAGCCATTATTATTATGATCAAGATGGAAAGATAATTGTATAGTCCTTCTGCAAATACAACTTATGAGCTCAGCTTTGAAAATAAAATAATCTTAATCCTCACAATCGCTTATATTTCTCTTACATTAGCAGTGTAAATACATTGAGATTGCTTAAATAGCAATTTTAGGAATTAAAGTTTTCTTGATTGTTAGTATATGTATGAATTTCAGCCTTAATGACTCAGGTGAGGTCATGAGCCTTTAAACTCAACAAATTCAGTAACTTGCTGAACATTTCAACCCAATATTCAATATCTATACATGTTCTTTTACAAATGTTCCTCCTGCAAAATCAGGTAAGACTATCCAAGCTGTGTTTACTCATTAAGTAACGCTGGCTTAAGGCATTTAACCAAATTACTTAGCCTAACTAATATAAAAGATTACCTTGGCATAGTCAAGCCTTGTGCATCATCACGAGATCCAAGGAATTTTGTTTTCAGTAATAACCTGAGAGCTTTCCCAACATAAATATTGTTCGTCCTGTCATATTGATCCTTCATGGTTGGAAGGCGGAGTGCTGTCAAATATTGACACAGTAATACAAAGACAATTTGAGCAGAGCAAACCTTAATTAAGACAACTTTTCGTTCAAGGAGAGTCTCATCAAATCATGGCTGAACATTCGCCTTGAGCGAAATATTGACAATAAATTCAGTAACTGTTCTTCTTTAAGTGTCTTTATATTACCCATATTGTCCCTCTATGTTTCTGTGACTGTTGGTGAGCCAAGCTTCTCCAAGCTTGTTCTTTACCTGAACAAACATTCGTTTTTCACTGTGTCAGAGGAACATTTAATTACGTTAAACGTGGATCAGAAGGATCCTGCTTTTACAATAACTAAAATGATTACATGGAAAGTACAACTCTAAATTCTAACGATCATCTTTTCTAGTATAAATCTTGTGAAATATTCAGACCTACGACAACGCATAATCCACGTCTTTTTCACTTCTTTAAATCTGAATTTTGTTTCGGAACTAATTAACAATGTTCAGTTACGAAAACTTTTTTGACAGGATGGGGGAGGGGGGAGAGAAGGGATGGGAAAAGGAGAGCATAAGTGAAAATTAACCGAATGTCCTAATACCCTTGTACCGGTCCTGATTTTATATCTTATTGTAATATAATTCTTACGTATAAAATCTGCAGGGTTGTAGTGAGGGGCAATCGGAAGACCTAGACTGGAAAAGTGATCAACTACTTTTCTTGTGTCTCCAAAATATGCATTCTGTAAAAAAAATAGAACATAAGTTTTGCAGATAAATGGAACAATAATTCACACTAACTTATTATTGAATGATTAATGTGACTTTCGTTATACATATGAAGACTCAATGATAGTTGAGGAGCTTCAATTTGAGTGCGTCTGAATGATTAACATGTATAGAGTTTAGCCCATAAGTTGGCATGTATCCTAATGCATGTAGCAAACTACTGTTCAAATTTTTGAATAGTCAGTTATAACATATTTTACTATTCTTATTGCAATGCAATACTTGAATTGTGACCTTAAAGGTTGCAATTCAGTATATGTTTATCAAAGACTAACAGATTTCACCGGAAGGCTTACTTGGCCATTACAGAGTAGAAGTAACCGATCAACCATGTAAAATATTTGTGAGGAAGGTTGATGGAGAGTTGCTATGACGGTTTTGTGCTCCTTCTCTGCAAACTGCTTGAGTGTTGACATCAGACTATGTGCTGTACTTGAGTCCAGTCCTGAGGTTGGTTCCTACAGGCAATGATAAGATTTATATTGATTGGTGATTTAATATAGTTAATGGTGTCACGTGTTCGAGAAAAATAAGTTTAGTTAATAATATCTTATAATACTGGAATTATAATAATTAATTTTAGTAGTGGACATTTATTTCCTCATGATTTCTTCCACATTAATATTGTGCATATTAATTAGTACAGTGACGAAATAAAGCATTTATTTGGAAAATAATAATACAAGGGAATGATATGGCAGATAATCGATTTAATAAGAGATATGACTACTTTTTGCTTTTATAAGCGTTGCTACACGCTTTGGCATAGAATCGACCAATATTGAACACATTTTGACAAGTTTCCCGTGGTACCAGGTTCTAATAACAGCAACAATTAGCTTCACCACAGTTGAACAGTCTTGCTTCACGATTCCAGGCCAGTTTAGAACGCTTATCCCACTCTCTTCGAGAAATGTCAGCATTTTTCTGGAAGTGAGGCATGGAACAAGATCCTACTGAAAAATGTCTTCTTCATCAGGAAAGCCTCTGTCTACAATAGGAAGCACGTAAGTTGCCAGGATTGCTTTGTATTTATCACTGTTCATCGTTCCCTTAATAATAACAAGCTGTTCAGGGCCTTTAGCAGTAAAACTGACCCAAAACATCTATTTAGGTGGGTGTTTTGGCGCATATTGAATGTGTCCTTTCCGAAAAGGTTCACCTTAGCTCCATCTCACTACCACTGATTCGTACCCATGCACTTCAAAAAGTGCCTCATCTGAAATACAACTTTTCTCCATTCATCTGTAGTCCACCTCTTATGACCGAGTGCTAAACGCAGCCTTTTTTCTTCACAGCAGCTGTCAACAATTTTCTTTACCGGGTTTTTTGGCAGTTCTGGAAATTTTCAAAAACCCTTTCGTAGAAGGGTTGAAGAATCAACATTTACCTATGAAGTCAAATCCTCTGCGGTTTATTGCGGTTTTTCTTGGATCCTTCACACTATTTTAACCTTGTCATCGTGTGGTGTTCTCTTGCATTTTCGTCCACATCTTCCTGAACGCAGCGCTTCACAATTACCAGTGACGTCAACTCTATTCAGAACTACAATACTTGCACGCTTCCTAGGTGAAGCATCCATCACGAATTTCAGCAGTAATCATGAACAAAAGGGGGGAAAATTGGCGAACCCACATCACACGCGGAGCAGGCATGCAGTAATCGCCTTACAGTCGTAGGGTAACACCGCAGCTGGATGATTGCCAGAAGTCGGTAGCAAACTCTTCTTAAAAGTTAAGATCTCAAACTACATTAATTAAGCCAGAGACTAAGACATATTATGAGATAATCACAAAATTTACCCTGCCCCCAATTTTTTTGTACATACTGTACTCGGGTTTTCTTACGGTGGAACAAATGTACCTTTAATGAAAATAAAACTTACACACATTTATAGCCTAACGTTCATAATGAAATCATCTACACCTAATATATAAGAACCCTTTTCTTGACTACTTTCTCTGCGATATTCCCCAAAATTGTTCAACCCATCGGGGGGGAACTTTGATGCAGTGAAAGTCTCATGATACCAGGCACTGAAATACCTCTCCTTCGGGATCAAATTAAATTCCCCCCACTTATTCCCGAGGCGCGTACACCTTTATTAATCTCACTTCTCCACAACAAAAGTTTAGGGCAACTCACATCAAGAAGCAAAGGAAGGGTTTGGGTAAGTAGCTCGCAGGCAATTTTTGTTCCTTCTTCTCCCCACCAAGAGGGCCCCGGTTCATCACCTCCCCAAAAAACTGAAATATTTTTTACAGTGACAGATTTTGTTTTAAATTTGTAAAAATTTAAAAAAATAAATTTTTAATAAATCATGTTATCATTATATTTTGTTCCACACCAAACACACAAAACCCCCCCCCACACACACACCCCCCCCCCCACACACACACACACACCCCACCCCCCCCCCCCCCACCACACACACACCCCCCTACACCACCACACACACACATACACCACACCACACACAGCACATACACACACACACACCACTACACACAACACCACCACCAAAACTAGTCCCAGAGCTAAGAGGTATGTCCACGAGGGAGGAAGGGAAATAAACCCTGACCACTGGAGGACGGGAAGATAGGGGGGACATGAAACGACATACAAAATACTGAGGGGAAATTGACAAGGTGGACAAAAACGCATGTTCCAGAGTTTGGACACAGTAACAAGGGGGAAACAGTTGGAAGCTAAAACACAATGAATAAAGGGGATGTTGGGAAGTATTTCTTCAGCCCAGAGTAGTCAGTAAGTGGAATAGTTTTTGGGAAGCGTTAGTGGAGGAGGGTCCATACATAGCTTTAAGCGAGGTACATAAACCACGGCTCAGGGGGAGTGACCTATAGCGATCAGTGAAGAGGCGGGCCCCGGACTCATCGACCCCCCCCAACCTCAACAGGTGAGTAACACACACAAAACACCCCACACACACACACACCACAAACCAAAAACACCCCCCAAACACATACACACACAACCCACACGCACATAACACCACACCACCCCCAACCCCCACAACCCCCCACAACCCCAACACACACACACAACACACACAACACAAAAACCCCACACCAACAAACACACCACCCCCCCCCACACAAAACCCCACACACACACACACACACACCCCCCACCAAAAAAAAACAACACACACACACACACACCACACCCACACCCACACACCACAACCCCACACATAAAAAAAAAAATAGGCCCAAACGCTATCGACAAGTGCCTCTACAATTTGTAACTAACAATATAACAAACAAGGAAAAACTACAGACGGATCTCAGCATTTCCTTGAGTGGTCCTTTTTTCAAAAACCTCTCTGGGAGTCTGCAGTACCGCATCCCCCCACCTAAAGCATGTTAATAAATGGATAAAATGTCCATCATGGGCGAAATTTTAACTAAGGAAGAGGGTTTAGAGAGTCTTAAGGAAACCCAACCCCAACGACATAAGGGCAGAACAAACCAGAAAAAGACATATAAAAAAAATACAAATACTTGAAGAAAAAGAGCAGCTGGGGAATACCCTTTTTTGATTAAAAAAAGCGCACGGGCACATTTTAAAGTTAAAGACCTGAAGACTTGAAGTATTTTTCAGCCTAGGGTGGGCAGGAAGTGGAACGATCTGGATGAAATGGTGGAACACGCTCGATACGTAGTTTCAAAAATCATTATTACCGGCCCCCAAGGCACTAGTGATATTGATAGATATGAAAAAATATAAAGGGGAGAACCCCCAAATTTTGTCGAACAGTCCCTTATTTTTCCACAGATATTAAAAAATTCGATAGTTATGTCCTTTTTTAAAACTAAAATTTTTAGAGTTATATCAATATTTAACAATATAGTTAAAATTATATCAGCCCGTTTACCCCCCGTACCCGGCGTTTTGAGGTCGATAGGTTGAGAAATGGTCCAAATTTTTTTTGTCTTTGGGAGGTCATGCATCGGGGGCGGAGAAGTGCTGTATACTGAAATGAATAGAACACAAAGACTTTTTTGATACACTCATTCATTCACTCGATCTCTTAGCTTAAAATGAATAAAATTTTGCATTAATGTTACATTCGTAAAAAGTGCTTTCAAAAACAAAAGCTGTATATAAAACACAGAGAATTGTAAGATTTAAAAAAGCCCTTTAATTTTAGGATAACAAGTTATTCAAAATCGTTTTTATCAACCTTAAAGGGACTGATAGCTCATAAGGCTTTTTCGCTCCTTTGCGAATAAATAATACCAATCGGGGGAAATTTTTAAGAGCTCGTTAGTTTTCCCCCCCTCTCCAAAGTTTTTTTTATTTTTTCCCTATAATTCATTTTCATATTACTATGCATTTGTTTGTCGCTTTCGAAAAGGGGAAGTCTAGGATCTTCCCTTAATTCATGGTATAACTTTAAAAAATCTTTGAGGGCAATTTGTTGCACAGGTCCCAAGACAATTGCCCCCAAGATCTGTTACAACCATTTGTCCTCATAGACCTGTTAAGTTAACCAGAAATTTAATTAAGATCATAGACTTCACCTTTTTGAAAACAGACAAAGGGAAAAGATAGTAATTACGGACAAGGTAGATATTTGGGGAAAAAAAAAAAAATATTATTTTAAGACAGGGGAACAAACGTTTCTCCCTTTAAAACGTTTTGAGTCTACTGAGAAACGTTCATGAGAATGCCATGAAAAAAAAACACGGCGGTTCTCCCCCGTTTGTTTCAACGTAAGGGAGGATAGAAGATGTCGTCCTGAAGAACGTAGCAATCGACGTTTTTTGGCGCTTGTTAGAGGGGCTCCCCCTATGGGGGATGGCCGCTGTTGGGCCTTACCGGCCACTGAGGGAAATTTAAATAGCGAGGTCTTTCCCCCAAAACCCGCGAAGGACAATGTTGTGTTCAAAAAAGGGAGTACCTATGTTTTTTTTAACATGAGGCATGCATTCCTTCACTTTTTGAATCGACAATAAAAAAACAATGAAAAAAATAAAATAATAATAATAATTTATTATTTTTATTACTATTATTAATAATAATAATAAAGAAATAATGATAAATAAAATATAAAAAAACTAATACTAATAATTGTAAACAAACCCGGGGACCGTAAACGTTTTTTACATAATATTGGGTCTTTAAAAAAAAAATTTTCTACCCTTTGACATAATTTCAAAAAGTGTCAGTAACCCTGTAACCCACACGAACTAACGCCCTCGAAAATTTGTTTGCAACTAAAAAACAAGAAATTTTAAAAAGTTTTATATATATATATTATTTTTTTTTTTTTTTCACACCGGCCCATTTCCCAACCAAGGGGAGGGTGGCCCCAAAAAAAAAAAACTTTCACCATCATACCCATCACTGTCTTGCCAGAAGGGTGCTTTTTTCACTAAGTTTTTAAACTGAACATAACACCCCTCCTTTAGAGTGCGGCATGTACCCCATC